ATATTATGGATTCCGAGCAGTATAAAATATCCTCTATCATGGCCACGTCAGGGTCCAGTGGCCCGTGGCAGGTCCCCGCCAGCCTCTTTGTGGCTGTGGTGCTCCCCTTGTCCCTCCAGAGGGAGATCCTGAGCTCTGCCTCTTTTCTGTGAGCTCGGAGGGCTGGCCCAGCTGCCCCGGGCCACCTCACTTCTTCACTGGCATCCAGCAGTCGAAAGGGATGGCAAACAGAAAGTCCTTCAGTTTCTTTTTGAAACTGTTGAAGGTGACAGCCTGGGTCATACAGGGAGTTTCCTTAAGAAAGAAATGAAAAATAATAAACACTTGAGGCCAGGTGAGTGGGTAACGTGGGGAGCGCGCAGCACATTTCTGCGTGGCCTCTGAGAGCTCAAAGGCCAGAAGGCCGTTCCTGGGAGCTGGTCAGGTGACACTGTTGCCACCCAGGTGCTGCCCAGGGTGGCTGGGGCCGGTGCCCTGACAGCGTGCCGGCTCAAGCCACCTCCTTGCCTGGCCGGGGCACATAGGTCGAGCGGAGGCCACCGCGCATCACCCAGACCTCACTCTCTTCCAGCAGGAAGAAGGGGTGTTCAGCGCCTTCGTCCTTTCCAGGAAGTTCCTCCTCCTTGCTCCCATGCAGTCCGGGCGCCCCACAGGGAAGTCCTGTCAGGAGGCAGCACGCGGGCCCTGGCACTTCCTGCAGACCTTGGGCAGGCCCTGAGTTTCTCTGGGCTTGCCTCGCCTCTGACCTCATTACTGGCGATGGCATAATAAGAAGAAGGGTAGCAGCTCCCGCTAGGGCGCACTGTGGGCCTCGGAGCTCCCTAGCTTTGACTCCTAGGGATGAAAAGGTGCAGGTTGCTACATTGCTCGGGCTCCTCATTCTACATCTGTCCCACAGAAACCTTTTGGGTCCTGAACAGCCGCGGCCTCCCCGCCCAGCTCCCCCCTCCCAGCAAGGGCACTCACCGGGGTGGGGGGGCAGTGCTGCTTGTACTGGCTGGCCATCATAGTCAAGGAGCCCTTGAGCTTGGTGAGGCTGCCCCGCAGGCCCTTCTCGAACAGCTCCAGGCGGGTCTGCAGGCACGTGGGCGCCTGTGGAAAGTGCCCATTTCCTGGTGAGCAGAGGCCAGGCGCCAGCAGTGGCTGCCCTCCCCTCACTCCTTCCTGTGCCGTCCTCTGCCCCCAGGAGTTAGGGCCTCGGAGGGGCACAGGATGATTCCTGGCTAGTCTCGGGCTGGGCCAGGTCACACTGCTGCTCTGTGCACTGCAGACACCCATCTGTCCTCCCTACCTGCCTGGCTCAGGCCACCCTCAGCCACATTCACGTAGTCACACACTTGGGAAGGGTCCCAGGCCCACCATTCAAGGAGAAGGGGTGAGGCGGAGCATCGCCCCCCATTTGCTGTATGAGTAAGTGTTGCTTCTAAAACGCTATCTCCACAGGGTGTGGACTCAGGGTACCGTGAGTGCTCCAGGCCCACAGCCACATCTCAGGAAGACCCCACTTTCTTACCTGCCCCCTGGTGATCCATAGCCTTTGAATGCTAGGCCTGCCCCTGTCTGCTCAGCTGATAAAGGAACCCTCGAGACCACCACAGGACTGAGGAGAGTGATACCCAGATGCCGCCTCCTCTTCCTGGCAGCCAGCTGACTGGCAAGAAAGTGGACAACCCTGCGAGGAATCCATCTAAAGTGCAGCCCCCCAGGACACCGGCCTCAAGAGCATCTTACCTGGGAATAAAATGAGTTATAGACAACTTCTACTGTTTCATTCTGTAAAAAGGAAAACATCACGTTACCAGGCTGACAGACAGGGCCAGTGCGGAGCTGGCAGGGTGTCCAGGTGCAGCCCGCATCCTCTGTCCCTCACTCACCGTCACAGCATCCGGGTCACTGTTGTGGTTCAGGAGGCTCAAGGCTTCCTTGATGGCATCCACGTGTTTCCAGGGCCGAGTGACAGGGCTGGGTGGGAGGGTGGGTGCACAGATGCAACAAACCACAGTGCCAAGGAGAAGCAGGTTCTGCAGCCACATCCTCCTGAGGACTTTAGCCTTTCTCTCTGAGTACTGGGCTCGCTGGCAAAAGAGCCCTTTTATACACAGTTAGAGGAAATGATTAATGGTGACCACAAAAGCCAGGGAGGCGGGGGAACTACCTGAACTGTGGAATCTCCTGGCCCTTATCAGCTGCACGTGGGAACGACAGCCTTTTCCCCAGGTGGTCAGGCTTGGGGGTTTTCATTAACGAGCCCTTCCAAGAACCGACAGCCCACCTGCCCACCTCCTCAAGGGCTCTCCAGCCCTGCCTGGGCAGTTTGGCCTGGCCCTGGGCTGCCTCTCCTTTTGAGGAGCCTCTGGGCACGACTTGGACTTCCTGGCCTGGAGTGGCCAGGGTGGGGCTTGGGAGACGCCGGGTGCGGCTCCTGCTCCCTGGCTCCCCATCCTGCCTGCTATCGAGAGTTCTTTGGGCAGGTTTTGCCCACCCTTACGGCCGTTCCAGTCCCAACCTTCCCCTCATCTTCCCACCCTTTCTGCCCTCTGTCAGGCTTGAGTGTGAGCAGAGCTCTTGTGGTCCTGTCTCTCTGTTCCCTTATGGTCCAGCCAAATGACACAGCCCTGCAGTGACTCACATGGGTTCTCTCCAAGGAGCCAGAGCAGTGAGCTCAGCCTAGCAAGGACCACTGCCCTGTGTAAGGCTATGACAGCCAAGTGCACATCCAGCCAGCAAGACTTTAGTGGGTTTGCTTCCTCCTTCATGGCAGTAACCCATCTGCCAGCAGCCCTTCTTGTTTACACAGCCATGTTCAAGCTGCAGAGGTAGGCCAGGGCTCTCAGCTGCAGAAAGTCAGCCCCTGACAAGTTTGACTCCTGGCTTCGGTGCCACCTGGCTGAGTGACTTCCTCTGAGCTATGTGGGCCACACTGCCCCCTGTAGGGTGACCTGCCCCTTCGGAGTGGACAGGCAACCACCCCCATGGCACCAGGAACCTTGGGGACTGGCTGCAACACTGTGGCCGCACCCATAGCAGGCACAAGGGCCTATGGCTTCCCTAGCAAGTTCTTCCAGGCTTAATGTCCTACATGGTCCCAGCTCTAGCCCCTGTCCAGCTTCAGAGGCCTCTCTGTGGAAGTAGGAACTGCTTCTGGAACAACTGCAGGCTCTTGAGGAGTTAACGAGTGTTTGGTTTTCACAATGGGTTCTGGAGAAGACAGCATGAGTTTGTATTTGCACAAGGGATCTGGCTCAAGCTACCCCATGCTGGAACTTTTGTGACCACAGAGCTGTGGGTCCACACATGTCCATTTCTGTGTGCACGTTTGTCATTGTGCTGGGATGAGTCTGCATTCCTGGGTACACCTTGGAGGGCAGGATGCTTTTCATAAGGGTGCATCTGTGTGAGCCTGGATTCCTGTCAGGTGCTTTGCCAGAGGCTCCAGGGCTCCGGAGATGCCCCTGGGATGGGGAGACGCTTCCCACTCTGGGTGCCCTAGTGAGGTCGGCATACATAAGGACGCTCTGCTGGGCCCTCAGACCCAGGTAGAACTTGTGGCCTGAGCACCATGGTCTGCATCTGTGGCCACAGAAAGTGTCACTACAAGGTGGGGCTTTGCTGCCTTTGCCTGGGAAAGCCAGGTGTTTGTCCTCCAGACCACCCTGGGGTTCTCTTCCAGGGCTGGGGATTCACCCTGAGACCAGCCCTGCCTTGCTGAGCCTAGTGGAACGTTCCTGGGTGGTCAGGCTGGACAGGGAAGGGTGACCCTGTCTTGACCCTGACCCTTCCTCCACCTTTCCACAGGTCCTATGTTCAGTTCCTTCCAAGGAGCTTTTGGGGGACATGAAAGGGGACAAGGGCACTCACCACAGAAGCCACACGGCATGGAGTCTGTGCCAGACAGGCCTGGACGCTGGAGGCTGGAGGTGGGGAGAAAAGCCATGGGCATTGGCTCAGCTGATAGCCAGGGAGGCCAACAACTGGTGTGGGTGGCCCCTCTGGGATGGAAGGCTGCTTTAATCCCGAAAACAATGACCCTTTCCTGTCTGTGCCAAACCCTGTGCTGGGAGGGGTTGGGTGGGACACTCACATCTGGCTCTTGAGGTCCTCAGTCTGGCGGAGAGACAGACTACAGTGGACCCTCCTGTGGTGTGGTCCAGCCTGGAGTGGGGAGCTTTCAGAACTGAGCCCAAGGAATTACCTTCCCAGCTTTGGGAGCCAAGGGAATTGGAGGAGTTCCTGGGACACACAGCCTCCCTGCAATGTGAAAGAGCAAAGGGAAGTCGGTGGGTGTGCCAGGCTGTGGGAGAGGAAGGGGCAGATTGGAGAAGAGTGTTCAGGGGCAGAGGCCTGGGGTTTAGAGGCAGGTATGGTAGAAAGAGACAGAATCTAGGAAGATTTAGAAAGTAGAATCCTGAAAGGATTCACTTAGGTAGTGGACTTACTCATTCACTTAATTCTTATTTGTTTGTTTATGCTGTAGTAGAGATTGAACACAGGGCCTTTGCACTGACCTACATTCTCCCCCCCCCTCTCTCTCTCGCCTTTCTTCAGTCAAACCCAAGGCCTTCACACTGAGCCATATCCCCACCCCACCCCCATTTAAAATTTTTAATCTTGAGATAGGGTCTTACTAAGTCACTAATTTGGCTGGACTGGACTTGAAATCATGATCCTCCTGCCTTAGCCTCCCAGAGTGCTGGGATTACAGATAATGTACCACCCCATTCAGCTTCATTCATTTATTGAGCATCTACCAGTTTCTCATCAGGGAAGACAGATACTAAGATGTTGGGAAACAGTCAGGCTTCCACACTCATGGACTCTGAAACCCCACTGATAGAGAGTCAGGTTGATCTACTCATCCCCCCAGAGTGTGCTTTTGATCCTAAGTAAGAAAATCACCTGCAGCTCGCAAGGGCGTGGCCCAGAGGACCAAGGGGATGGTCTGCAGTGTCTCAGCCCAGGGGAAGCCTGAGGCTCAGGAGACAAACCTGAGAGGTCCAGGTTCACCTGATGGCTGAGGCCAGAGTGACAGGGGCATGGGGCATACTTGCCGGGTCCAGCAAGTGACAGGCCAACAGCCACGGGCCCTGGGGAGGGGCAGGAAGAGAGGAAAGCAAGGGCCACGAGGAGAGATCCAGGCCAGCAGCTTGGCCGGCCAGTGCGGAAGGCAGTGTGCACAGGACAGAATCCTGGGTTTACCAGTGAGGTTTGTGGGCAGCCACACATCCTTCTCCTGGAAATATGACATCGGGGCTGAGGCCATGACACAGGCAGGCATTCCTAGATTGCATACAAAGGAAAAAGTGGCAAGAGATAACCCCAGGCCCGCTGCGCTGACTCAGGTGCCCCAGTGGACGGAGGCGGGGACCAGATGGGCGGGGTGACTGTCTCTGGCCCCCTCTCACAGGGCCAGGAGAAAACCTCTAGGAGTTTTCTGTGAGTGCCTTCTCGAAGTGGCTCTTACTGAGAGAGGAAGTCATCACAAGGGGAAGGAAACAGGCCCCGGGTCCCTCACATCCCATCGTCTCCTTCCATGCCTGCCAGCCCCTGGGGAGGTCCTTGTCTTCACGGGGAGCCTGAGAGGCAGGAGACAGTAAGGCGCTTGTCCCCACAGTAGATGACAGCAGGACCTGGATTTGAAATTTAATCTGCTTCTCTCCCCTGATGGTTTGCACTACCCTGGGCATCGATATCCAGAAATGCTGGTCACCTGGCTGAGCTAGCAGAGGGGTGGACCAAGCAGAAGGGCCCCCTCTGGGCAGCTGTTCGTAAAGGGAGAGTCCTGCTGGGTACTGACAGGGAGGCTGGAGTGCCCCATGACTGCCCCAGGGACCTCTAGGGGCTGAAGGCAGAATTTCCTCCAGCAGATTCTGCCACCCAGGCATGGGCTCCTGTTCCTCTTCAGCTGCCAGTGGCTCCCACGTAGCCCAGGAAAGTCCCTCCTCCGTGCCTCACCTGCCTCATCTGTGCAGTGGGTAAATTACAGCCAGTTCTCAGCGGAAGTGGCTGCCCATCCCAGGAAACTCTGTGGGAGACTCTTCCTAGGAAGAGGCGGTGCTCTGACATCCCCTACTCTGGGAGCTTCTGCAGCCCAACCTGAGCAGAGGGCCCAGCCTTCCTGGGATTTGGGGGCACAGCAGCACCATACCCACCCCTGCCTCTAGAGGGCGTCTTTCTGGACAAACCTGGTAAAGTGGAGAGCCCAGCCACCACCCACAGTTGGGGCTGACGGGGTCCTGAATCACTCTGAGGAGACCCTGGCACAGCACAGCGGCCTCGGTGGCACCTCCTGCCCCGAGAAAGTGTTGCTGTCCTTTCTGGCAGCACTGGTTACTTGAACAGCATCTCAGGCCTTTGCGACCTCACCTCCAGGCTGAAACCTCCTGTATCCGGCTCTGCTTTCTGAGCGTCCCTGGGCCCTCAGTACTGAGGAGTCCCTTGGTCTGGGAGGACCCGAGGGAGGTTAACCCCACGCTCCCAGGAGGACCCGCATTGCTTCAGACTCAAGTCCTCGGTACTTTGTCTGTGGTGCCGTGGGGAGGACAGGGACGACCAGGCACTGGGAATGAGCAGCCGTGAGAAGGAAATGAGAGAGAGGAGAGCCAAGGACAGGACAGGGCTGTGGGCATGGGGCCCTGGGGCAGATGAGGCAGGAGCCCATGCTCAGGGTCCGGCTCAGGCAGCTGGGTGAGCATTGCTGCGGTGGAGGGGATCCAGAGTCACAGAGAGGTTCAGGGGCTCTGCCAGACCGGACGGACATGGTCAGTTTGAGAGACGGGGCACCTCCAGGACAGCTCAGCTGGAAGTGGCCAGGTGGGTCCAGAGGTCCTGATCCCAGCCAGCAGGAAGTCATTGGTGAGAAGGGTTGGGGTGGTTTCCGGTGCAAGAGAGGAGTGTGCTCCTAACTACTTCCCTCCAAACTCACACGCGTCCCCACACCCTTGAGCTACACCCCAATTAGGGCCACCACGTTCCTGTGCACACTTCTGGGGAGCAGCAGCTGCCGATCCATCTGCTTCTCACTGAAGAGCACTTT